AGAGACTCATCGTAACGTTACCGAGCGTTACACTTTTTCATAAGTGACTCCCAGCCGCAACCTAATTTAAGACGTTGTCACGTCAAAAAACCTGTAAAAGATATACTACGCGGCGCCATGTATATATACTGTATTCTATATGGCTCGTAATTTTTACCGTTGGACAATGTATACAACCTCATTTAATGCAAATCCTCCTCTGAGCGAATGTGTTGATATATATAAATAAATTGAACGTGTTCCCATGTCATTGACCCCTTTTGTAGGTACAACTACGACGTTCCTTACAGCTACAAATCTATTTAGTCTCCCCCTCCCACCCCATTTATTATGGCAGTGGGAGAAAAGTTCTCAGATAACGTGTCTATCAATCGTCGCAAAAATATTTACATAAAATTATGTTTATACCTATTGTTAAAATACTTAATTATAATTCATATTGTATATATTTATGTTTTGACGTGACAACGTCTTAAATTAGGTTGCGGCTGGGAGTCACTTATGAAAAAGTGTAACGCTCGGTAACGTTACGATGAGTCTCTCGTGTTAAGTTTAAGTTTACATGTACAATGTTTTAGTAAACAAAATATATTTCTATAGTTAAAATTTGTGCAATTCTTATTTTCATTCAATTCCTTGTTCCTATTGTGCAATTTAATTATATTCATATCAATAAATATTCTACCGAGAAAAAGACGTTGTCACGTAAAATCTTCGCCCGTAAAACCGACTTTACAGGCAACCATTTTTTTTAACTAATAAATATTCCAATTTTTATCAGTGCGGTGACGGAGAAAGAATACCACTCACCGCCCCTTCACTTCCCGCGGGTGTCGTAAGAAGCGACTGAGGGATATCAGAGCTTCCATCTGCTCTTCTGGTGGTAGGGTGCCTAACACTCACCTAGTTTGTTACCACCGTACGCATAGTGAAAAACCCGTGAAGTGTGCGAGCCAGCGTACAACCAGAGCTCGAGTGGAAATTGCCGCGACGGATTCGGTCCTGTGGAGGTATCCGTCGAACCGATGCCGGGAGGACTGCAGCGACCCACTGGCCAGGGAGACCCGTAGAAACGGCTGTCCCGCTGGCCGCCCGTGGCACAGTACAGGGGCCCGAGCGTTCCTAACCAGTTCGCGAGGCTGTCCCAAACTCAGACTTGCGCTTTCACGGCAAAAACATCGTCATTCCTTCCCCATCCCTCTCTTTAGGGCACAACACTGGCGCTACAGAGAAACATTACCATGCTCAGTATGGAAGTTCGCTCAGACCTGAATCCAAAGGACTTCATCGAAACCGTGATCAAAACAGCTTCGCGCAAACTCAGAGTCCTGATCAAGATGCGGCAGTTTTTCACGCCCGATCAACTGTGCTTGTTGCTCGCACCTCTGGGATGGCTCCGCTAAGTGCTTACTCGATCCTGCCCGCATTATTGGCGATGAAGAGGTAACTAAGAAACTCGAGTCTCTACAATTACGCCGCGATGTGGCATCATTTACCGCATTCTACCGACTATACCACGGCGAGTGGTCTGAGGAGTTATTCTCCCTCCTCCCTCCATCACCTTTTCTTCAGAGGACCACGCGCGCTGGCCTACGTTGCCACCGAAATTTTCCTAGCCTTAAGCTGCAAGACAATGCGAAGAGATGGTGCTGCCTTGCAGCTTAAGGCTAGGAAAATTTCGACGCGGCGAATAGGGCCGTGGTAGCATAATGGTCAGTGCATTCGCCCGGATTGCGAAGGGTGCGGGTTCGAGTCCCGTCCGCTGCCTGGTCCGCGTGGATTTTTTTCTAGTAAACTTTTCTTTAGATTTAAACATCTAGCAGTAAAATGCTTAAAAAAAAACATAAAAACCTAACATAGTTATAATATTGGTCAATCAGGACCCTGTCTCAGTATAATGCTGCCGTGAAATGTAACTAAACGTAACGTAACGTACGAATACGAGCATTTGCTCTTAGTCATCATCATCATCTGCCTATTAATATCCTCAATGCTGGGGCCCAGGCCTTCCCTATGGATGGAATAGGAAGATTGGACCATGACCCACCACGCGGGCGCAATGCGGATTGGCGGGTGCTAACGACTGCAAACGCAGCCGGGACCAACGGCTTAACGTGCCTTCCGAAGCACGGAGGAACTCGAGATAGAAGATTTTTGGTCACCCATCCAATGGCCGACTTCTGCGAAAGATGCTTAACTTCAACGATCGTAGCCGAACGCGCTAACCACCCGCGCCGAGCTCCTCTTGTTCATGGTAATGAATGTTCATATGTATTTCTAGATAAATAAAATACTTAATGTGTATCATATCAATATATGTATTCTATCCATTACCCGAGTATCTCATAACACAAGCCTTTCAGTGCTTACTTTGGGGCTAGGCTAATTAGTTAGAAACTAGCAAACCAGTGAACCAAATGTTCACCAAAAAAAAAATGTATTTAATTAATTGAGAACTTCGGAGATTTTGTGTGGTTTCGTTTGAAATAGAAATCACGTGATTTCTCGAAAACCGGAAGTGCTACGTTACTCACATCCGGTTTGTAGTCTTATCAGACTATTCTCAACTTATAACTTAAACATTCTCTTTATCTATCTCTTACGGTTTGGCCGCTGAAACAGCACCACGGACGGACGGACGGACGGACGGACTTGTCTAATAGATAAGAGATATTTATTTATTGAACGCATGCTGCCATTTGGGATGAGGCGTAGGCGCTTGTTATTAAGAGCCCTTTCATATGTTTTGTAAAAAATTGTAATTTTTGTACGCATCGTTTACCCTCTTAGAAAAGATTTTGACTATTTTCAATAGAAGTAAACAGTCGATTTATTCTTCTTATTGTAAGTTAATGTAGAATATTTGCAAATATTGAAATGGTTTCTTTGACAAGAGCTCTTAGGGTAGGCAACTGGAGGCTGAGGCATTGTCCTAATACAACGCGATAACGCGATCATCGCGCGATTAAACGATGCGACCATCGCGTGATCGCGAACTGGGTGTCCTAATAGAACGCGAATACGGAACGGGTTAGCCCTGCCCCTCTCCCCGCTTCCTATCGACGCGACGCGATCATCCCGGTTCAGTTAGGACATCTATTCATCATTAATAGGTTTGATTGCGCGTTCGCGTGAACTAAGTTCGCGCGAATAGATTTTTAAACATTTTAGTCGCGCGAATGCATCGCGCGATCGCCCATTAGGACACCTATTCTAGATCAATATGTTTGATCGTCGAATCGTACGATGATCGCATCGCTCATTCGCGTTATCGCGTTGTATTAGGACAATGCCTGATAGTCCAGTATTGCAAGCGTCTATTCTATATGTTAGGGCACTATCAAGCATCCTATCCTTCCTACTAAAATTATAAATGTGAAAGTTTGTATGATTGTTGTTTTAATGTTTGTTACTCAATCTCGCAAAAACTACTTAACGGATTTGGATGAAATTTGGTACGAGTTTGGGACCTGGGACCTAAAGAAAAGTTTTACTAGAAAAAAAAAACCACACGGACCAGGCAGCGGACGGGACTCGAACCCGCACCCTTCGCAATCCGGACGAATGCACTGACCAATTATGCTACCACGGCCCTGATGGCCACATCGAAATTTTCCTAGCCTTAAGCTGCAAGGCAGCGCCATCTCTTCGCATTGTAGGTAACCCACAATGTCAAACAAACTAGTAAAACTTTTCTTTAGATTTAAACCTAGCAGTTAAATGCTTAAAACAAAATAATAATAACCATAGGATACTCTTTATCCTGGAAACAAAATTAAGTTCCTCTGAGATTCTTAAAAACTAAATTAACGCGCACCAAGTCGCAGGCAGTCGCTAGTCTAAATAACCTTTCTATTAATCACGATTGAACCCCAGTTTACGGGAAATTATCTCAATTTTATGCAGTAAATGCTACTTGAATATTACAAAGTAACCAACACCAAAAACGTACAAGCATTTCACATTTGTAGAACTGATATTTTTTTAGAAATTATACCATGAAAAGGATTCACATCCGCAATTAGAGACGTCAATTAACTTTAAGTTTTATCAATTTTGATCGTGTTTCTCTTCTGCAATAGATATGGAGAGGATTTAACAACACGTACGTAACTTTGACAAGCATTAAATTGACGTCTTTGACCGCGTGAAATTAATGGTTAAACAGGTAAATAAAACACAGCGCGCCCCTAAATGGAATCAACTATTGCGTGTTTATTGACACATCGTCCAGAAAAACATTACATAATTAATAATAAATATAATAAATATCAATAATTTAGACTTTCACTCGAAGCGTGGAAACGAAACTTAACTTAGTGGCCTCTCTCGGCTTATTCTAAAACGAATATAAAGTAACTGCCAACTATGTGGCTATTGCTATGGCGCGGCTGCGACCGCCAGGAGGCGCTGAGATCGCTGCAGCCGTCTCTTTCCCACACTGAACAATTTTATCACAGAAGTGTCTTGGGGGGGAAGAGGACAACTTCCATTTACACCACATCTCTCTAAAAAGATGCAAAGAAAAAGCCGTTACTAATCTCCCGCCTCTTCCACAAGAAATAGCTGACCAGATTTCGTTGTGTTGGAAAGAGACGACTGGAGGTCTGCCAGGGTGGTCCGCCGGCCGGCTCATTCACGAACTATCGGAGACGAATCTGAATTTATATGCTCTGTCGCTGTTCCTCGTCTAGTAGTGAGCAGAGACAGAACATACAAACTGAATCAGAGTGACTGCTCTCCTTGTGTGTAACCGAAGCTTCGGATGGTTTTGAAACGCTCTTAGATTTTTCTGTTTGAATTTTTTTTTGCAACGGGAATAAAATCTGGCGCTATAACTACTCTTTACGTAGAATAACCACAAACATTTTTATTTGAAATGGACTTAAAATCAGTCGTCGGTCGTACGAAGGGGGCTTATCCTCAAACTACGTTCGTTGGTCATTTTAGTTTCACTCGCTTACTTTAAAAGTTCGATATTTTGTGGTGATTCACTGTACATTCACATTAATGTATAGCGAATTATATATACACAAGAAAAGGAAAAGAAATGGACATCCGTTCAAATTATGTCATTATCTGACCATAGAAATTAATTTCCAATCACAATCCTTACTCATTAACGTCATTGAGTAATGCTACCCTGTCAAATTTACTGGTCCATTTAAAGCATGCTTACATACAGCATTTTTTTTTGTTGCCATTTATCAATTTTATTGTTATGTGGTTTTTCTACGTATCTGTGACAATGTCAGCATTCTACAGCCTTGCGATTCACTAACTGGCATTTTAATTTTTTGGCTGTTAGACAAGTTGTATGGACGAACTCGACGTTGTTTCCTGAATACCAAAATACATAGAATAATGTTAAAATTTTTGTTAGATATAACAGACGCCGTGTCCGTCGCCGAAACTCTAATAGTGAAATCGGAAATTATCAACCGATCGACATGGTGATAAAATTTCATATTGATTACTCTACTGCAACGTAAAACATTGTTTTAGAGATTGGTAATACGCCAGTTCTACGCATTACTGCAAGAAGTGCTAGAGATTTTGCTCTGATGGCTTACTATCAAAAATATAAACAGTATTCAGCCGATGTTCGTCGTTTAAATGCTTAAATTTTCGAACTAGAATCTGAACACGTTAAAGTCTAAGTTAAAAACAATTGAATGACAAACTTCGTTTTAATTATCGTTTATATTTTTGTAGCAGGCCCTCAGAACCCACTGCTTTAGGCCCTGCGCTGCGTTAGGTGGTAGCACGGTATAGACGTGCGCTCCACGAGCAGTTTCATGGGATTTCCTAGAGCAGCACTACGACGGGAGACCCGCCTCACGCCTGCTCTATGAAATAAAATGAAACAAACCGACCGAGTCCGATACGTACTCCCGCTTAACGCAGCGCAGGCGCTTTATCGAGAGAGCGTTCGTTTAAATTTATTGTGTCATGGGAGCATTTCGAAAGTATCAGAAGCTCGGTCGAGGTTGCGTTGAGAGTAGTCCCCGCTCTAGCCGCGGTCCACCATGAGCTCGAAGTGCACGTTGCCGCGCCGCTCGTAGCGGTCGTAGTTGATGTTCTTTGCCCACGCCTTGCATTCGATGTTGATCAGCACGCCCGCTGCAATGATCAAAACGTTATAGTTAAAAATAACATCTATATATATAAAAATGAAACCCGTTTTCCGTTGTCACGACATAACATGAAAACGGCTTGACCGATTTGTATGATTTTTTTTTTGTAGTTTTCTAATACTCTGTACAAGGTTCTTACGGAAAAAAATATAAAGAAAATCTTTCAGAAAGATTGAAAAATATAACGTAACGAATGTCAACGTCATTCAATTTAAAACAAAAAATGAAACTTTGTAAATTTTAATCCGATCCGATCGGGCTGAGACTTTGCATGCAGGTATAAGAAGAATCATAGATGAATGTCATTGTGTATAATACAAGCCTAAGAACAAAAACTGTTGTCTACACTTCAGCTCTACACCGAAGCGAAGCGAGGGCGGGCCGCTAGTTTTCTATAAAAATCAAATCTTCCTTTTTGAGCTTCCGCAAAGTTTGTAAAGTTACGCAGGATTCGACCGAGTAAATCAGATAGGACTAACTGCTTTCAAAACCATGTGCATACAAATAGTTATTAAAGTACTTAGATTTTTAAATGATTCAAAGTTTTTAGACATTAAGTGGTTTTAAGCTTTGTAATTTTAAATATTTCTATCTATATATATAAAACTCAAAGGAGACTAACTGACTGACATAGTGATCTATCAACGCACAGCCCAAACCACTGGACGGATCGGGCTGAAATTTGGCATACAAGTAGATGTTATGACGTAGGCATCCGCTAAGAAAGGATTTTGATCAATTCTACCCCCAAGGGGATAAAATAGGGAATGAATATTTGTATGAAACTTTGTCAATTTTAAACGCAGGTATAAGAAGAATCATAGATGAATGTCATTGTGTATAATACAAGCCTGAGAACAAAAACTGTAGTCTACACTTCAGCTCTACACCGAAGCGAAGCGAGGGCGGGCCGCTAGTGTAAATATAAATTAATGAACTCCAGATGACGGGCTTTTTTATTATTTAGTAGGTAGTTAAAGTTAGTTCGTAAAGGTTGTTTCTTCAAATTCCTAATGTTATTTATTTGGCATTTGACAATATGACGTAAAAATTTCTCTTGTTTTGTGAAAACAAAATATTATGACAATATGCTATGTAACTCAATAAAGCACTTCTCTGACTTGACCGATAGTATTGTACTTTTGATACTCATCAATCAGAACTTGAACGTGTACTCTCAACTACGGTTTCGACTTTAAAGATGACTAGAATCCACTCACTCCTCGGCTTCTCGAAGAGTACGGCGACCAGCGGGCTGAGGTAGCCCTCCTTGTTGGTGAAGGGGTAGTAGAAGGCGGGGAAGCCCCGGCGCGGGATGTACTGCACCGGCCCGATGTTCTCCACGTCCGCGGGGTTCTCGCCCTCACACGACACCCACACCGTGTTGGCTTCCGGCTTGCCCGACTGGAGGGACGGAAAGAGTAGCGGAAATTAATCAGAGGCAGAGAATAATCCAGACACTATTTTTTAAGAATATCTTTAAAAGGTGGGAATCGATAGCGGAAGTGTTAAGTCGATACCTAATCATGGTCCAAGCTCCCTATTCCATTCATTTGAAAGATTTGTGTCGCAAACGTGGGGACATTAATAGGCTGATGATGATCTTTAGAGAGATGATATTAGTATGATGAGCGAGTTGCCTTGCAACCTGAGAAATACTAGAAGAAATTAGACTCGTCTATAAAGGTCTCGGTAGCATATTGATCAGAGCATTCGCCCGAGTAGTGAACATGCTTGAAGCGGGCTTGAGTCAGCACTCATCAAGAAAAAAACAATTCGCCCCAAGAAAATCAATGTTTGATGAATAGGTTATGAACTTGAATTAGAGTATTTGTAGAACACTTATGTATGATTCTATGAAGAAAATTAGTCCTTATCCCACCACGGATGCAGTTTGTACCTTTTGTGTGGCTATTCTGCATTCTTACTTTACGTGCCTTCTAAAACATGGCATAAAGCAGCATGAGGTGCCTTTTCAGCAGTAATTTTCGATTTTATAATTGATCCAAAAGATGCCATCATAACTACTTGCAACACTAGGAATGTGGCTGCTGTATTTCCCACAAAACCAATTTCCGACCATGTGGATTTTAATGAAATTACTCGGACAGTAATAAAAGCACTCCCAAATATGTATTATTAGCTGATATTTTCTATGAACCGAAGGAGTATTTCCCCTGGTGGACACATCTGAATTTAAAGAAAATATAATTAGAAAAAATTCCACGCGGACCAGGCAGCAGACGGGACTCGAACCTGCACCCTTCGCAATCCGGGCGAATGCACTGACCAATTATGCTACCGCGGCCCTCACGGACCGCATCGAAATTCTTCTAGCAATTCTTAAGCTGCAAGGCAGCGCCATCTCTTCACATTATAGGTAACCCACAATGACAAATGAATACTTTTACAAGTATTAAACATTTGAAAGAAGAAATAACAATTAAAACATCTGAATTTCCTAGGTTTTCATGAGAGTACTGATGTTTTTAGTTAGATACGTACCACCATCTTAATGTGTTGCTTCAGATCCTCAGGCATGTTGCTGGGCAAGTCCTCGGTGTTATTGTAGGGACTGGGCATCCAGTTGAATATCTGAAACCATTTACATTTGATGATTAGTTATTAATTAGATGCCATATTTTGAATAAATAACAGATTCAATTAAACATTACAGAGTACAATATATTTAAAGATATTATTAGAGTAAGTTTAGTGTGTTGAATGCAACCCATCAATTAAAAAAGACAACACAAACAATACTCAGCAAGACACGAAAAAAACCCTTAACAAGTTTTCAGGTACTGAACATTTTTAAATATCTAAAAATTCGATTAGGCCCAAGATATCTATTAGACGGAATTGAATATATTCTAGCAACATATTTCTGAGATACAAAAATCTCGGAAGATGGTGCAAGTTGTTACAGCGTTCATGGATGTTAAGCAACTTTTGCAATGGCTGGTAATGGGTACCCAAAAAAATATTATCTTGAGTCCCTCCTGCTTCGGAAGGTAGGTCCCGGCTGCATCTGCATTCGTTAGCACCCACCAATCCGCTCTGGACTGGCTGGACTGGATCTCTCCCTATTCCATCCATAGGAAAGTCCTATATTCCAGCCGTAGGTACATTAATGGGAGACGGTGTTAAAAATCTTGCAGTTTAATGCTTAAAATCAAGTCACACCTTATTCAGCTTGAGGAAGACGCAGGGGCCGGCCTCCTCGTAGTTGTATTGGTTGGCAGATGTGCAAGGATGGAACTCGTCGACGGGCACGTCGCACACCTGCTTCTCGCCGAGGTCGCGCGACCCCGAGGTGGGGTTGCACGCCACGCGGTTCTCGGCGCCTGTTGCCTCGCCGCTGCCGCTGCCCTTCTTGCGGTATTCTGATGATTCAGACGTAACAATACTATTAGATTCTATTTAGATTCTTGCAGTTGCTTTTTACGTACAAGATCTCCCGCCGCAGATTTACGAACTGATGGCGTAACTTCTGAGATACAAAAATCTCGGAAGATGGTGCAAGTTGTTAGAGCGTTCATGGATGTTAATAAGCAACTTTTGCAATGGCTGGTAATGGGTCCCCAAAAAAATATTATATTGAGTCCCTCCGTGCTGCGAAAGTAATTACTAACTAACTAACGTAATAATAACTAACTAACTAATAAAACTAACGTAATAACTAAGTCTATTCATGAGTGCTTGTAACATCCTAAATTGAATAAACTAAAATCAATAATTTTCATTTAGACTGCTTTGTATGGAAATGTTTTGGTCAATTAGAAAGAATGAAAGAAGGGAAATAAGAAAATACCTATCCTTGTGATTCAGCAAACCTACTAAACTTATTTTGAAAAAGAACCTTTTGCATTCATTGGTTGGCGGCCAGCAAGGCTATCCTCTCAGGCCCGCTATTTTTTGTTTGGCAATCATTATTAAATTTAATGTGTGGTATTTCAACAGTTCTTTCAGATTTTCACATCTTTATCGATAAATTTAAAAGTTTTGGCTTGTTTTTCCTTGAGCACGAAGCCGTTGTGGTTGGCGCGGTATTAGATCAGGGTGTACTTATACTTCTAGATGCTTGTCAATAAGTGTATGGATGTTAAACTATACTAACGCTCCAGGTATTCATCGATGACGCTGGCCCACTTGAGCACGGAGCCCTTGATGTTGGCTCGGTTGTAGATCAGCGTGAACGTATAGTTCTAGATTCTTGTCAATAAGTGTATAATTATTTTATACAATATTTACGCTCGAGGTAGTCATCGATGACGGTGGCCCACTTGAGCACGGAGCCCTTGTCGTTGGCGCGGTAGTAGATCAGCGTGCTCTCCACGTTGTCCGAGTCTGGCATCGGCCGGAACCCAAGACCTGGACCATAGACAAAAAGCATAAAATCGTACTTTCTTCTAGGTGATCGCTTATCATAATAGGGTTAGATAGAAAGGACAATGTTAAAATTGGCCTAAGAATCAACACCAATTTGGCATTTATGATAATTCTTAGTATATTTTTTGCGATAATTATCAGTATTTAGATTGTCACGGACACTTCCAGTTAAGTAAGCTAAATTAAAAAGTTAAAAAATAATCTGAGACAATAAATACCATTTTATGTGTATAATCTATGGCAGCGCTGCAAACAAAACACTCTTTCTTCCTAATGCCGGCACTTCACTTGGCTATTCGTATTTGCTATTTTAAAACATGACATCAGTCGATCCTTTTCATTCCTTATTAAGCATGACAAGGACAAACTGTTGTCAAGTGAAGGGCCGGCATAAAACTCGTTATTCTGTGGTTGTGGTGCATGCAGTTTGCATTCGTAGTAATCTGTGGCATTCGTACATTCCAAAGAGTAGTTTATTATACCGGAAAGTGCATTCTCGTTTCGGATTACCTGTTGTGTGTTTATTTGCGATTGTTTTTCCTTAAATTTAACTATTTTGGCTATCTAATATGCCATCGATGTTACCAAAGAGAAGAGCCCCTATAGCCAAGTGCTAGTGAACCAGTGCCACAACATCCTGAGAGGATCATACTGCTTAATTATTCAAGAACACAACACTCGATACACATTCACGCTGCATATTTACACAATATACATGTGATATACAAATAAATACAATATTGAAATATGATACAACTATGTGAAAAATAGTCAACAAAAAAGAAGCAAAACTACAGTTTTTATTTTATTCATGATTCCTACCTAACCAAGTTTTTCATAATAGTTCTTCTTTAAAATCGCACCGAATAAAATGAATTACTTGTAATATTAATTCACTTCATACTGAGTTTATACTAAATTCATAGGTTGACCTATGTTTCATTGAATATTAAACATAACCTCAAAAAATTTTAAGTTTTCCTAATAATTTAAGTTCTCAGAAGTGTCCGTCAATAATCTTTGTTTTTACAGTCATTTACTTACGATTTAAGAACCTAGAAAATAATATTTCATGATTATTGGTTCTTAGGCTAACTATGTATGGACGCTGAACAATGTCCTTTAAATCCAACCAAATTCCTTAGTTCGGTAAAATTTTTGGAGACTGAATTATTAAGACCCTTACAGAAGACAGCAGCGAAATAACACTTCCTTTTTGGTGGTGTTGTATTTCTGTCGATGTGTAAAATTCCACACTCCACGGGGTAGGAGATGGGGGTCAGGGTAGATAATGGCCCAAATGCTGGATAGCGTTAGCGTCAATAGACTGTAGTGGCCCACGGAGTAGCCTATATTGTTATATCCGCAGTCCTGACAAAGAACCCTTATAGTTTCGTCATGTCCGCCTGTCTGGTTGTGCGTCCAATGTTTTGCTTGGCGAATGTTGGCGCTAGAGAGCTGTAATTTCGTGGAGATATGTATATCAATCACGCGAAGAAAGTGACAGAAGTAAATTTGGAAAAATAATAAAAGTTCAAATAAAAACAATAAAGACTCCTGAAATATACCTATTGTGGTAACGACGGGAAACAACGTAATCCTACACTACGCGTGGCACGACACGCACATGGATGGTTTTGTAGTAACCGCACAAAACTGAATAGCTGCAGTGTCTTATAAGGGGGCGTCCATAAATTACGTGAGGTGTTTTTTTTTTAATTTTCTGTCCCTCCCTCCCCCCCTGGTGAGATGTCGTGAGATTTTATTCAACCCCCTCCCCCATCCCCCAATCTCACGTGAGATTTTTCAAAATGTGGGTTTCCTAAGTAAACGCGTTGGATTATTATTGTAAAAAGAGAAAAATTTAATTGTCTCGTGCTTTTATTCACGACTAGTTAAGACTAGTAATCAATATTGATGAGAGTTATTTCTTTCGAAAGAATTAGAGAATGATCTTAACCGTATCACGATTACGCTTAAGATTAAATCTTATGCATGTACAATCTGCATTAAATGGATCAAAATAGTATTTTTTTTTGTATCAATCAGAAAAAAAATGCGTGATATTTGCCGAGACTCCCCCTCTCTCCAACGAAAGATTAGATGAGATTTGACTCGACCCCCTCCCCCCCTTAAACATCTGACGTAATTTATGGACGCCCCCTAAGGTAACCTATTTACCTGGGTTATTGCCGATGAGCGAGCCCTCTAGCTGCCACTTGGGCATCTTGGAGTCCAGGGTCTGGTAGAAGATGGCCAGCATGGCCGCGAAGAAGCCCACAAGCACCGCATAGAAGATCAGGTAGAACAGTAGGATTTTAGCTGCAAAAGTATTTGTAAATATTATTCATACATTGATGTTGAAATAAAAAATCCTTAACTGGTGGTAGGAAATAAAATCCCCTGTTCCCAGTAGTCTTACCGAGTGGTTTTACCAGTTGAACTACTAGGAATTTTCTTCCCAATAGACACTGATACTAAGACTTCGCTGGTGTTTTGTTTCCCCATTTATCAAAATTTAAAAAAACATAGCGCTCGCAATTTATAGATAGTAGCTTTATTTAGTTTATCAAGTAATCAAATCATTATATCAAGTACCAAGAGAGTATATATGACTAAAAGGTTTTGAGTATAATAGTAATCTTGTTTTAATATTATTTTTATAAAAAATACAATTTCTAGTTTACCATTGCCTATAAAACTTAATCCTGAATCTAAAATTTGACAGAAAAAACGCAGCCTATAATTTATTCTGACGAAAGCGGAAAATTACCAAAATTCCATTTAAGTCCGAAAAAAACAGCCTATTATTTATTCTGACGAAAAAGGAATCTGACGAATGTGTCTCAAAATATCTATCAATTACATAGGTCTAAATAAGAGTAGGACTATTGGGAGTTTAGTTTTACTGGTAAGTCTAAAGTCTATTGGGAAGGAAATTCCCAGTAGTTCAACTGGTAAGACTACTCGGTAAGAAAACTGGGAACTGGCGAAATAATTTACTGTTGAAAAGAGTTGTCTTATGCTTCTAATTTGAATAAAGAATCTTTGTTATTATATTTCATCATCATCATCATCAGCCTCTGGGGCACAGGCCTTCCCTATGGATGGAATAGGGAGATTGGGCCATGACCCACTACGCGGGCCAAGTGCGGATTGGCGGGTGCTAACGACTGCAGGTGCAACCGGGGCCAACGGCTTAACATGCCTTCCGAAGCACGGAGGAACTCGAGATATAATTTTTTGGTCACCCATCCAATGACTGACCACTGCGAAAGTTGCTTAACTACAACGATCGCAGCCGAACGTGCTAACCACCTGCGCCATCGAGCTCCTCCGAGTTACTATATTTGCAAACGTAATAATAAGGGAAATACAAAGCGAAACTTTCACTTGAATGGAAGCCACCACCACTACTTTAGAGAAAACCAAGGTGAAATTTTACTTTTGGTGTTGCCGTTTCTGGCAGTAAGCATAGGTTCCATAGCATTTCATTATATCGCAACCCCGCCCCGGTGCGACACTGTCACTTATGCAAAAAAAATGGGTGCGTGTACTTATGTAGGCGCGTGAGAAGTTATCCTTCTTTGACATCGTTTAAAATTAGTTTTTAATTGCATGCAAATAATAAAAGTCTGGAAAAGGACACAGTCAATAAAGTTCAGTTTTAATTTGAAAAAATAAATAAATAATCAAAATATTCAATTAAAATCGCTACTGAATATAATTTGGTTCCGTTGTTCCAGATTAATAAATACTTTTGATATTATTAATATGAATACCTATAACTGTTACTTTATTACAAAAAATAAAGATGTGGTTTTTGGTTCTACTACACCAATGGTCAAGAGATGGCGCTGTAGTTTCCTGAATCGCGCTTTGGTTCCGTTGTTCCAGATTAATAAATACTTTTGAATGGCCTTCACAATGCAGTCGTTAGCACCCACTAAATAGAGATTCTATTTCTATTTTGTTGGTAGATTTTCTTAATGTGCGGTAAACACAAAAGTAACAGCTTCGCTTTAGCGACCAACTTCATGCTGTTAATTTTTTGTGTTACAGTGATGCGCGCGCATCTTAAAATTTCACTCTCATCATTTTTTCATGCGCCTAAAGAAGTATAACTTCAAAAATCATTTTTTCAGGAGAAGCGTTTAAAACTTTAACATCCCAAAACATACAATATTTAAAGTTTTTTTTTTATTTTTTTTTAGATGAATAGCTAAGCTGTATCACGTAAAAATCTTTAAATATTGTATGTTTTGGGATGTTAAAGTTTTAAACGCTCATCCTGAAAAAAAATTGTTTTTTGCATAAGTGACAGTGTCGATATTTAACCCATTTTCTGTAGGACTAAAGAACCTCCTTGTCGAACCTAAAATTTTTACTCTTTCTTTCTTTTCTTTGTTAATTCTATTTCCATCTTGTAATATTTAATGACAACATTCATTTTTCCACGCAAAAAGGTAAAAAAAAAATTATTTAATTCTGCAACACAGTTTTTGTAAAACTAAAGCAGATTTAACGATTCATAATTTTATGTACATTGCACTTGTTCCAAATAAAGTTATTATTATTAAGTTATTATTATTATTAAATTTTTACTCTTTTTTTCTTATGTTTGTTAATTCTATTTCTATCTTGTAATATTTAATGACAACATTCATTTTTCCATGCAAAAAGGTACAAATAGTTGTTATTCTCGTACAACTACATAGTATATAGTAACATTTCTCGGAACCAGTTAGGTCTCAGAGGTATCACAAATTGCCGGTCGGTGCGTATCGATTGTTGGGTACAATTGTTAAAGTGGTATCAATAGGAGTTTCCTACAGAATTGGCCGCATTTCTAACAATTTGCCAAGAATTAACTGAATAACCTAAACTGTTTATTACTCAATTGTTATTAAAGATATAATAGAAGTTGTAATGATTTGTAAGACTAAAATAACAAAAAGGACTAAAATAAAAACAGTGTTAAAATTCTATCATTAAATCGTTTGCCTCTTCTTAAATTTTAAGAATATTTGGTTACTTTTTAACAAAATGGATATAGAAACATAATTTACAATTACGAAAACTATGATAGTTTTCGTGAGCTCGAAATCGTACTAAGGGCACTCTCTTACGCACAGTTATCGAATTAAAATAATACGACCTAAGCTTAAGCATTCTATAAATTTACATTAAAGGAAAGTTCTGACATTATAACAACATTATTGGGTATATCGATGCATTGCCAAATCAATTTTAAGATTTCTGGACATTGACTTTTAAGAACCAGATAACGGATATGATAAATTTCATTCAAATCTGTTCAGCCATTTCAGCGAGAAAGAGCAACAAATATCTTTACAAGCTTTTGCGTTTTATTATAGAATGCCGTATCTGTATTGATTTGAATAAGACAGGTTCAACATGGCGCACACCGCGCACGCCCGATGACCTGCATTACCTGCAGCAATTATGCACCTCCCTGCATACAATCTGTAGTATATTAGGTTATATTGGAAGGTAATCTAATAATTATTTATCTGCCAGCCGAGTGTCGTAGCTGTCCCCAAAAGTTCAGAAATAAATGTCTAGCTATACAGTAGTCTCTTATTTGTTTCTTAGGTTTTCACGCACATCACTCATTAAATAAAACTAGTTTTTACGGGTTAATGCACGAAACTTTATTTATTTATTGACGTTTCGTAGCCTTTACAGGCTACGTCGTCAGAATCAAACTTTTATTTAATTTGTCGAGCTACCTTCGAAAGACTTTTCAACGAAACGTCAATAAATAAATAAAGTAATAAATAAACCTGTAAAAACTAGTTTTATTTAAGTAGTCTCTTATTTACGTATACATATCAATAGCGACGAGAATGGGATGTGCCTTATGCAGGGCACTTATAATCGAATTCTGTATAATTATAGGACTTAAATATTGATACTTATAATACCTAGGGACTTCGACAAGTGGCATTGTTTCTATACGTTTCAAAAATAGTGTTAAAACACTTTCTGAAAATTTCTAAGTAAAAAATGTTCGTCCAACTTTTACGATTTCTCACATTATTTTTTTAAGTTTTTTAATACATAATTGAAGGTTCTTCTAGAAAAAAAGAAGAATGTTACTCGAAATTGAAGTTATGTTGCGGAGGGAGCTAGACAGCAATAAATCAATGAAATTCCCTGTGGTAAATTGATTGTTTTTTTTAATTTATTTATGTCTAAAAATGTATGTTAATAGATCATGTATATCATCATCAAATATTAGATTATAAATCGATTTTATAAGCTTGGTCACTAATGCTTACGTTTGCTTTCATAGATCCGTAATAAAGTGGCATGTACACTGTTTTTTTAAGCCGTCGCCTACTCTGAAATATTGGATTCAAATACCAATCGGCAGACCCGTCTTTCCCAGTGGGCACTTTGGGCAAGTGCCCAGGCCCCCGTGATCGATAGGTGGGCACCTCAGATCAAATACAAAGTCCCTAGTTCCTGTTAAATCACCAAACGGGGGTCATAGGGGCCCCATTATCCTAATATGCCCAGGGCCTCCAATAGAAGCCACTGCCAATCGGGCAATGTTTGTTTGAAAAATGAAATCATTTTTTATGTTCTGGTATCGAACAGTTATATTTCCACACACACTAAAATGTAATTGACTATTTGTTTTCATTATTTATTGTATTTATTTGTTGCTATTATGTTCCTGTTAGAGAAAGATTCCAGGCTCAACAGACCTTACTTATTTTCTGATGTGTACAATGAATGTACTCGCTAATTTATGCTGTCTCTACGATTGGTCTGGCAGCTTACAAAATAAACTAATAGCCCTCTAAACATCATAGATAAATATCAGCTCTCAGACTGTAAGTTTGACATTCTTATATGGGCTAAATCCAGTTTTAGTTCAATCAAGATTTAGCAAATTTGCTATAAGTGGACTATTGTATATATAAATAATTAAATGAAATTATTACTGCCAGACACATTAAAATGTCGCAAGCAAAAAACACAACGTTATTTTCTGTTAGTTTAGTTTTTGATAATTAGATAATAAGTAATTATTCAATCATTGATATAATATGAAGATAACTTTAATAAAGCTGTATTAAACAGGCACTTAATAACAATGAGCCTGTAAGGGATTTTTTGATCTCTACGATTGGTCTGGCAGCTTCACTACATAGTATAAAACAAAGTCGCTTTCTCTGTCCCTATGTCCCTTTGTATGCTTAAATCTTTGAAACTACGCAACGGATTTTGATGCGGTTTTTTTTAATAGATAGAGTGATTCAAGAGGAAGGTTTATATGTATAATATATGCATAATATATTAGAGAAAAACTGATAATTTTAGAGGTTTTTAATGTAAGGTCGTAAATAAACACAGTTTTTTGCGCTTACATTGCAAACGCTGGCTGAACTCTACGAGATAGATCAAAATAATGTACTAACGTATTGTACACCTTAAAAAAGTCTACAAAAAAGTCCGCGATGGCTAATGTCTATCTCTTAGGGGTAACCCACAATAACCATTTTTTATTCTATACTTTTTACAAGAAATAATAGATTATTTACGAAGCGATTTTCTGCAATACAACATTCATCCTTATCCAATTAAGTACCTTAAATGCATTGTGCATTTAATATAGACCAATTTGGCCCTTTAACTCATGTAATTTAAATGAATATTTTCGAAGATATTACAGATTTAAAATGCAGGGACATAGCGGTTCCGACGCTACCGGGCCGGGGCGGGGGCTTGGCGGCTATTGTAATTAGGTATTAGAAGAATGTCATTGTGTATAATACAAACCTGAGAACAAAAACTATAGTCTACACTACAGCTCTACACCGAAGCGGAGCGAGGGCGGGCCACTAGTACAAAATAAACTTATAGCCCCCAAAACATCATAGATAAATATTATATCTCAGACTGTAAGTTTGACATTCTTATATGGACTGCATCTAGTTTTAGTTTAATCAAGATTTAGCAAAATTGCTAAAAGTGGACCTTAGTGGGTATTAATAAATCTTCAGATTAGTATAAGAGTTTATTGAGACCTCTGCCCTCGCAACCTCGACCCGAATGCGTCGCGCGCGCATTTTACACGCGCTCACTAATCACCCATTTTAATTATCAAGAAACGCCGCCGTCTCTTGTTAGCACAATGCGTGCGCGCATGGTGACAGACGCGAGGCTGCAATATGCTGCAACTGATATGTCAAAGACATGTAAATTAGACTTGCAACGAATATTCGGTTACTATTCGGTATTCGGCATATTCTGCTGCTTTTATTATATTCGGCCGAATACCGAATACTTAAATAATATATTTTGTCATAGAGGAATAATGAGTAAAATGAAAAATTAAAACCGATTGATTACGTATATATTCATATTTTCATTTCTGTTATATAATCATTTAAGTAGTCATTGGTACATAACACGGGTACTGTAATCATCTTCTGTATTGGAAAAATGGAGGATTCTATGTATTTGAATTATTGTGATACCTAATCAAAATTTAGAAGGGTAGGGTTTTCATTTCTTTTATAATCATTTATTAAGTAGTCATTTGTACATAAAACAGGTACATAATTTAATCATTTTCTGTATTAAACAAGTTAACCGTTTTAATTCATTCAGTCGTGTGATGAATGGTTACTTAATAGCAATAATTTAAATTTTACGCGCCGTTTTTGCAATATCTTAAAAGTTGGTTTTGTTATCATTGGAGGACGGCAGATTAGAACAAAACAAAGGAGCGCGAAACAATCACGTCTGTACAAGTTTTTGGCGCTAAAATCCAGCCGAATACTTTTGCCTAATATTCGGTTATTCGGTCAGGGGCCTCGCCGAATATTCGGTATTCGGTATACTGCAGAATTTTTGGCTACGTTGTAGTCGACTACGCGTCATTGTTAGTATTTCTACTACGAAATATTTATAAATTACACTGAATATATTATTATAATTCACCACGAAAATTCTATATTTATTTTAAACCGGAATAATTTTGTTATAATACCGCGCCCCTTACGAGTGCATAATGCCTCTATTGTTAATTTTTTTGCACAAGGGGATTTTTTAACGTCGTGTATTGAAAATAGGACATCTTGCGACATCATAAGTACAAAGGTGAGTTTATTTTCGATGCTTTAACAAACATGCATAAAAATATTTACATACGGAAATATTCAAGAATTAAGAGCGAAGAATTTTGTGTCTACAGTACCCCTAGCACGAACCATTATCGAATTCGAATAGTTTGCAAACCGAAATGTCAATGTCAAGCTTTGTATGGAAACTTGAACAGCAGCGGCACAAAGTACGTAACGAAAACTAAAAATCAGTACAGATTTGACAATGACATTTCGGTCTCGCAAACGATACGAATTCGACATTGGTTCGTGCTAAGGGTACTGTAATATGAATTTCTACATAATTATAAAAGCTCGTTCACTTCTCACCTAGGAATTCGCTGGTCTGATTCGAAATTTGTTTGAAATTCGTGGTCTAGTTTTAAATCATACCGAGATGAAAAGTAAGTTTGACCTAACAGAATAGCTCTGCTGATAACGTATTATCGTTTACTAATAACGTAAGAGGTAACTCGTTTATTTATTTTTCACATAATAATTGAAAAAGTAGAATTTTTAAATTCTTCGACCGTTTCCGTGCTAGCCGATCTTTACGTCCAATTGTTTGAAATTAGTGATCTAGTTTTAAATCATACCGAGATGAAAAGTAAGTTTGACCTAACAGAATAGCTCTGCTGATAACGTATTATCGTTTACTAATAACGTAAGTGGTAACTCGTTAATTTATTTTTAACATAATAATTAAAAAAAAAAATACTATCTCGAGCTCCTCCATGCTTCAGAAGGCACGTTAAGCCGTTGGTCCCGGCTGCATCTGCAGTCGTTAGCACCCACCAACCCGCACTGGGCCCGCGTGGTGGGTCATGGCCCAATCTCCCTATTCCATCCATAGGGAAGCCTGTGCCCCAGCAGTGGGGTCATTAATAGGCTGATGATGAATTGAAAAAGTAGAATTTTTAAACTCGTCGGCCGTTTCCGTGTTAGCCGATCTTTACGTCCTTGGATCGATCTCCGCAAGGACGGGGCGCGCGCATCTCGGCGCCAAATTTTACGCGCATCTTTTAATCTGTGACCGAATGTGTTTATTTTTGAACGGGTAGTTACTAATTAAAAATATTAATGAGGTCGATGACAGGTATGTTATCTAAATTAATGAGTTTTATAGCTAACGTATTTGATGCTTTAATTTTACATGAACATTTTGGTGGATACATTTTTCATTTTCATGGTTTTATAGAAATTGACAGATAGGTAGATTTCGAGTCCCGTCCGCTGCCTGGTCCGCGTGGAATTTTTCCTAGTTATATTTTCTTTAGATAGGTAAATTTCAGTGACGACTGCGCATTGATGGATAACCAATAATGTCTAGACTTTTTAAAATTTAAATATCTCGATGTAACAATTGAAAAGTTCAAAACTAAGAATGGAGTCAATTGAATAATTGCATATTTTATAGTGTGTGTGTACTCGGTACACGCATTAAAACCCGTTTCGTGTACTTGTAGCGAAATAGTTACGTAACAAAAGTTGAAAATAAATTATTAATTAAGTGTGCAAAAAAACCGCACAGTTACTTTTTAATTTTCTATTTGAATGGAGCATACTTAAGCTCAGGTATAGGTAGCTCCATCAATCAGAAAATCTTATCGATTTCCCTCCTAAAAAAGACTAATAAACTCCCGATAAAAAAGTTTGCAAACTCACCCCAACTGGCTCCGGTACGTCCCATAAACTGTCCCGTCTCCGAGTTCCACAGGAAGATCCTTAAACCCTCCCATTTTCCGTACTCCGGCGGCGGGGAATAGTATTGTTCAGCTACTTTGTTCTTGTCTGCCATGGTGAAACGCCGAGCCGGACTGCGGATGGGAATCGATTGCGGCTGCTTTCGCCCCGTGTTACCTCGCCCCGCACCTCACCCGCCTCTTGCAACCCCCAGCTACCCCTTACGTAACGATTACGTAAAGACAGCGCGGCGCGCGCACTGTTCAGACCTACTTTCGAAGCCAGAAAACAATAAACCTCACCCCTTATCAGTTTCCAAGCCAGTAGAGCTCAAGTCTAGTTGGTCTTCTAACCAATACAGATGACCCTCGCTTCAAAAGACACTCTTTTTAACAGCAAGACCACTTTATTCTGGTTAGTGCTAAATCGGCATTGAAGATTCAAACCCTTATTATACAGAAATATAAGGCTCATTTTGAGATGATTTTTGATAAGTGGGATGCACGTGTAAGTGCCGGAAGTTAATTTTGTTCTTTACGTATAATTGTGTACTCTTTCATGACCCGCAGATTAGAATCAATATATATATATTTAGCAAAGTGCTAGGTTTGTACACTCGCGAGCAACCTAAACGACTTACCCGTTAACTGCGTATACCTATATATACCTTGAATCAACTAAAAACATATAATTATGATACTTATAACAACAATATATTTTTTGGAAGCTTTAAAACAAATTAAGTGCTAACTGATCCATTACGTATCCATAGGGCGTCTAGGACAATTTAGCTCATTGCATTACCTGTAGCTTCCGCTACCTCCCACCCACATAAAAGCCCTCGCAACCAGTTTAAACGTATCACTCACTTATCAAAACTTGACCGGTACTCAACTCTGTAAATTGCATTAATTTTGTTTTCACTGAACCATGGAGATCACACCTCAAGAAGAGAGAGAGAGAGAGAGAATCATTTTTATTGACCACATTATAAATTTACAAAACAACATACAAAAAAAAATAAGAAAATATACATAATGGAGAAAAGAAGAAAAAATAAAGTACCATTCGTGGTCAATCAGGACCCTGCCAAGAAGGCGCTCAAGTGATTGCCTTGTTGCAACAAGGACTCAGTCAGCGATATGTTTCTGTCCAGCTTTACCCAGTCTGCTGTATTCCGAGTATACAGACGATTTCAAGAGACTGGTGCCTTTAATCGGATATCAAGAAGCAACCCTCCGGTGTATTTCTAAGAGACACGATAATAATAATAATAATAAAATTTTATTTTCTCAAACCACAATCCAAATAAAACTTACATGAAGCAATGGTACAATGTAGCAGACTGTGGTGGGCTGATACCTGTACTAGGAAAAATCCTGTATCCCAGGTTATCAACCCTCCACCCCAAACAATGGTCAGAAAACTTATGAATTGTATGTACTTAGTGAGATATCTTATAAACAATCATGTTGGGATGTTTTGACACACACTTTATAGTTTAAGATTGCAATCGTTTTACTGTCTCAATCTCGCTGCGCAAGCGGCATCTAACGGATGTTGACGTACAGGAAGAACTGAGACGTGTCCGAAGAGTGTCTGTCAGTGGATGAACAGTACTCCAAAAAGAGCTGCTTTAAAGGACATTGTTCAGCGTCCATACATAGTTAGCCTAAGAACCAACAATCATGAAATATTATTTGCTAGGTTCAAAATCGTAAGTAAATGACTGTAAAAACAAAGATTATTGACGGACACTTTCAGAGAACTTAAATTATTAGGAAAACTAAAACTTTTTTGAGGTTATGTTTAATATTCAATGAAACATAGGTATAAATAAACATATAACCTATGAATTTAGTATGAAGTGAATTAATTAATATTACAACTAATTCATTTTATTCGGTGCGATTTTAAAGAATAACTATTACGAAAAACTTGGTTTGGTAGATATCATGAATAAAACAAAAACTGTAGTTTTGCTTCTTATATATTGACTATTTTTCACATAATTGTATCATATTGTTTATTGTATTTATTTGTATATCACATGTATATTGTGTAAATATGCAGCGTGAATGTGTATCAGGTGTTCTTGAATAATTTAGCAGTATGATCCTCTCAGGATGTTGTAGCACAGGTTCACTAGCACTTGGTAATAAGGGCTCTGCTTTTTGGTTACATCGATGGCATATTAGATAGCCGAAATAGTTAAATTAAAGGAAAAACAATCGCAAATAAACACACACAACAGGTAATCCGAAACGAGAATGCACTTTCCGGTTATTATACTACTCTTTGGAATGCATGAATGCCACAGATTACTACGAATGCAAACTGCATGCACCACAACCACAGAGTAACAGTTTTATGCCGGCCCTTCACTTGACAACAGTTTGTCCTTGTCATGCTTAATAAGGAATGAAAAGGACAGACTGATGTCATGTTTCAAAATAGCAAATACGAATAGCCAAGTGAAGTGCCGGCATTAGGAAGAAAGAGGGTTTTGTTTGCAGCGCTGCCATAGATTATACACATAAAATGGTATTTACTGTCTCAGATTATTTTTTAACTTTTTAATTTAGCTTATTTAACTGGGAGTGTCCGTCACAATCTAAATACTGATAATTATCGCAAAAAATATACTAAGAATTATCATAAATGCCAAATTGGTGTTGGTTCTTAGGCCAATTTTAACATTGTCCTTTACTGCACGTCGAAGACAAGCACGTCTTCAGTTTGCTCGAGAGCTATTCCAACTGTGGTCGGTACTGTGATGAGTGCAGAATGTATCTGCATGTCAGTTACAAGAGAAGCTGGGTCTACACCCGTCCGGGCGAACGGTAGGTCATTCCTCCGGACACTCTCAAAAAAATTATAAGGTTGAAGAAGAACCGACTGAAATTTGTAATTAGGACTATGGGAGGTAATAGGTACCAAACATAGAATTTATAAAATTTGTTTTTAACAGTATTTGTAAAATTCCTAACCACAATACCTTTTCCAACCAACCATTTCCATGGCCCAAATTCCTGATTTTCCTACATTTTTGTTATTTAAAAAAAATTTGAATGGATATTGATAATGATATAACTTAAAGCTGAAATTTCAGTCTTTATGATGAATGACGTATTGTGGTCCTGAATATCTTGTTAACTTTAAGTAAAATCATAAATAATAAAATCTGCTGCGTCGTCAGGATAATGATTTTATTAACTTTGTCGAGCTACCTTCGGAAGACCTTCAAAAAGTCTTTTAAAAGACATTTGAAAATCATAATTCTGAAAAGGATGCGAAGCGTCATAAATAAATAAATTAGTGCATCTATACCATTAAAACTTGTTTTATTTAATAAGAAATTCAATTCGTTATTTGTGGTCCCCTCTTGGTATAATGACAAGTACAATTGCTAAATTAGCGAAGGGTTCCAATTGAGCCTGGTATTGGGACAAGTTGATTTTTTTCTAGTAAACATCAATCATAAACAAATAGTAAACATTATATCGTCCAACGATCCATACGATCCAACAGCAATAGATTAAATATTATAATTGTTTAATTATATTCTAGTTCCCAACTACGACTCTATTTAGAATTGATTATGTGTTCAGACACAAAAAAAATTAAACAAAAAATAAAACCGACTGTAAAATCGAAAATGGAACTTAAAAGTAAAAAAAAAATAAACAAAAAATAAAACCGACTTCAATATCGAAAATTGAACTAATAAAAAGTAAAAAATAACATATGGTTCATGATTTGGAAGTCGGGCGGGTTCAAGATTGAAACATTAACGAAAATCTATTTAATGTTTCAATCTTGATTATTATTTTTTTTTGGAGTTTGCTCCTTAAGAATCGATTTGCATATTTAAGGGGCCCGGTATGAGAAAAATGTGAGGAGTAAAATCTATCGATGAATGACCTCGTTACGTTTTTGGTGCGCATCCTATGTCGCGCAACTTTGACAAACAAAGATGACGGATTGACATTAATATTTTTTTTAAAATCTGAACTGAATTTAGATATTGTTTCTAGCAATGGGGACAACGAGGTATGGTACAACCATTGATGCGGTATTTTCAAGATTCGTGAACCACGTATCTACGAACGTCCATGTGTCTTATTTTAGTTACCATAAACCACTTGTCACTGTAATTAATAATGCAGACAATGTTGATTTAATTAATTTCCAGGATTAGAAAATTAATATACATTTTTAGAAAACTTCGTTATGTTGCCCCACCTTCCATTATCAGATCCACTTACTTTGCCCTATGCCAGAGCATTATCACTTATTGCATTACCGCATGGGGAGGAACCTTCAAAACAGATCTTTTACAGCTGGAAAGGGCCCAACGTGCGATCTTGAAGGTGAGCACTTTCAGACCCATTATGTTTCCTACAAATGAGCTTTACCTAAGCTGTAAAGTTATGACTGTACGGCAACTTTTTATAATGAATACACTTCTACATGTACATGCTAAAACACCACTTACTTGCAACGCCAAAAGAAACAACAGAAATGTCTGCCCTACACCTAGGATTAATTATGCGTTTACTAAAAGATTCTTTGTCTTTCTTGGCCCTTACTTATACAATAAAATAAATAGCCTTCTCCTGTATCACCATCTACCCCACTCCAAATGCAAAAAAGTTTTATTTGACTGGCTTTGTGGAAATTCATATGAGGAAACCGAAAAATTGCTCGCTGTTGTATCCTAAATAACATCACTTGCATCTACTCATACTTGCACCATACATACGCAAATACAGACGCACACACATACGCACTCACACACACTCACACACACACACATACACACACTCACACACACACAACACATACGCGTATTCTAGGGTCAGTTGTACGTTTTCATTTTATGACTACTGCCTTATGTAAAAAAATATACTAAAAATAAATTCCAGTACTTTGTCTAGTAAATCTAACAGCTGTAAAATTTTTGTACCTTATACGTTTTTTTTGGCATGAATAAAAATTATTATATATGTATATTATTTTCATTAATTTGTTAATTTACCCTTTCATACAGTATCAATCTTTTTTAAGTTAAATAAACTCTTTTTGCGTCTGGTTAGACTATCGAACTTAAGGAGTAAACTCCAGTCGTGCGTCGGAGCTGACACACACACAATTTTTTTATTTCATCCTT